TATATATATATATATAGTTATTATATCTAGCTTTATATACAGTGTCTACAAGAGTGCTGTACAAATCCCATAATCCTGCCTGCGGCCTACCTTTCCAGATCATTTTCTACTGTCGTCAGTAGGTTGTAAAAGTATTAACTGACTCTTGGATGGATCTGACTGGTCCCTAAATTCTACATTTGTCCATCCCTTATCTGGACTGCATATATCTATACAAAGGACAAAAAGCTGTTAGGTTTATACTGCGGTTTATAATGTAAAACAAGTCATCGACAAAAATATATTAAGATAGCTACATATACTTACTTCTCTGGATTTTTTAATTTATATATTACAGGCATTTATATAGCACCATCATTTTACACATCACTTTACATAATATACATTGAGAACAGACCCTGCCCTCAAGGAGCTTACAGTCTAAGGTCCCTATATCACATACATACATAAATATACACTCTATAGGGTCACTTTAAACATTTGTGCACTAGTGGTACAAGTCTGTGTTAAATGTTTTCCCCACATCTGTTTGGATGCTTGAACTAGCACAGTTTAGCTGGGCTAGTGTAAAGATGCCTCCCTTGGTGTAAATCATTTTTTTTTCTAAACAAGTAAAGTGTTTTTAATTGAGTTGATATTTTATAATGACTAAGATGAAACTATCTAATGTTGTCAAGAATAAATGTCAACATTAAATCGTTAAGGTGTAGGGTATGATTACTAAAGTTATTTTGAGTTCACACTGGCTGCTGTAGAAAATGTAGAAAATAAAGTACTAGCATTTCACCTTACCCGAGTTGGGTACAGACTGTGACATGTTTAAAGTGGACATGTAAAGTGACTCATAATGTCACCCCTATTCTACTTTGTACTATGATCAAAATGTAATGTTACTTGTTCTACTATAGGGCTATTCCTAAATTATGACACCTTGGTGTCATAACATTTAATTTTGTGACTTTAGCACATATCCATTAATAAGTTCCATTAAACTTTACATGTCTTCTACACCTCAAGGGCTTTTTCAAACGGACAGTGCAGAACAATAAAAGATATACTTGCATTGAAAACCAGACCTGTCAGATTGATAAGACCCAGCGGAAGAGGTGCCCATACTGCCGGTTTCAGAAGTGTCTCACTGTGGGGATGAAGTTAGAAGGTAAGGCATTAGTGAGTAAGCAGTGATAAGACCTATATATATCCCATATTCTATTGCAAAAGATGTATAACAATATACCAACAACTAATAATTGAATTTTTCAGCTTTGTGTTGGAACTGCTAACAGCTGCATTTGATCTCAACTCTGGCAATGCCCCAATGCATTACACTAGTCTGCATTCTATACAGCTTCGTTCCTTAGGAGACTGCAAATCAGTCTTGTAAGATGGGGCTTTTGCAATGCCACAGAATGATGCTTTATTAAAAAGCATTGCAATACTTATCAATGTGCCGTTAATACGGAACACTGGGGCTTTGTCATGAATATTAAGAATGTTTAAGTCACTGATTCTCTTTATGTGTTTCTACTGTTTTAAGCCATATTGTTCTTTAAAGGTAATGTGGTACAAACTTGGAGTGCTTGGATGTTCACAATCTATTTCTGCCATGTCTGCCAGTGACCAAAATAATGTTACAATGCGATACAAAAAATCCAGGGTAATACAAAACTCACTTTGGCTGTAGTATTGCTGAATATTTAACTGTGTTGTCTATACTCAAAGCAGTGCAGAGAATCCCAACCCTTGGCTTTTTGCAAAGATGTCAGAGATTTAAATGTGTATTAATAAGAAAAAAAAACTTGGTTTCTTCCGCTGCAGCCGAGATTCTAAAAGTAAATGTGGAAATTCATGTAGTGATACAGTATAAGGGGCTTGCCTGTAACAGATTTGGTTTTAGTTATGAAGCTAAGCATTGTAGAAGCCAACCTAAGGAATTACAACAGCTTACAATATGTAAAGATTGGCTTTAGTTCTTGTGATAATAAGTGAAAATGCAGAGCCCTCTTATCCACTGAAGTCGGCAATTTCAAGGACAAAAAAAGAGGTTTAGAGTGAAAGGTCGCCCAGGTCAACCAAACCACAAATACATTTTTTGATTATCACCCTGCAACTGATCTTTTCATTTGGGACGTCAAACTTTCTTTTCCATTAAAAAAAGACACTTTTATAGGTTTCCAGATGTGGAAAGTAGAGTATATAAAATGCTGAAAAAGAAAAATAAACCCAGCAGACAGGGAAATGTGAGAAGAACATTTTTTTTCTTTTCCACCCCCCAAAAAAACTTTCTCTGTATAAAAATATATATATATATATAGATAGATATATATATCTATATAGATATAGATATATATATCTATCTATATATATGTATAGCTATATACACTGTATATACCCACACATATATGCCACACACACAAATATGTACCAGAATAACCGTATTACTGCTTGATATAAGTAACAATATTTCCGGACTCTTGTAATAGGATGTACATCTACTTTAACGCAGCCTTTCTCCATAACTCATACTCCACGTAATGACACCACAGTGTATACTTTGCTAATAGACCCATTAAACTTAAATTGTAGCCTATAAATTACTCAGATTCATTAATTGCAGAAGTCTTTATGCTAGATGTGTATCTGAGATCCCCATGCATTTTTAATGGTGCTGTAATCACTCCTTTGCATAAGAGCCACTGGCCAAGGTAGGCTCAGTCAGTGTCACTTGCTATCCCATTAAAGTTGCACTGCAATGAAACTCACCGCTGTGCTAATCCCCATTAAAATCCCCCCCCTGGCTGCAGCCGAACCACACTTCTGTTTAATTATTCCTAAAATTGAAGACTTTGCTTTTCACTCTGGCAAAATTATAGTTTCATTTTTGAATGTAAGAATATCTTGACATGGATCAAGGAAAGGATTTACATTTAAATTACTCTGACTTATATACAAATGATTATATTTTGACTTTGTGCTTTTAGCATTTTGTACTAGATATTTTAAGGGATGGAACAATTATTGTGTACCTCACAAAGCATATATAATAATATGTAGTAAAAACAGTTGTATAGCAGTAGCACTTCTCGAGGGGTTCATTGTGTAACAGTTTTGGTAGTGAACACTATACATTAATGAGGGCCTAAAGTGGCCAAAGTTTATTGGGGTTCATTTATGAAGGTAGCCTAGAAAACTGTTTACTTTAAACATCTAATCATGTCAAGGGACTTTCCTATATATATTTTTTTCCCCTGAGCATGTCTGGGTATTTAAAGTAAACACTCTAAATTAACTGATCTGTCCACCTCTGTAATAAACCAATTCCATTAGTGATCACTTTTTTTGTAAAACATTAAACAATCAAGCAATCAAACAATCAAGCAATTTCCCTCTATAACTCACAGGTTGAGTAACAATGTACCCAGCAGAGAAAAATATAGCAGAGAATATTATAGAATCGTTAAAAATTTTCAGTCTGCCAGATTACTTTAAAACACTTGTTTTCTAATGTTTTCTGCTTTCTTACAGCTGCCCCATATCACTCGATATTCCAATTTATTATATATCAATTACTATTTAATATTTATGCCAAATAATGATGGAGACATATTAAACCTTAGGTGTGCTCTAACAGAAACATATGTGTGGGTACCATGAAGCTGCATTTGTTAGCTGATCACCATGTTAGCTGCCTATTTAAGTATACATAAATACGTCTGGAAAAAAGTAGGTTGGGTTTGCATGCATGTTGATTTTTCCATGTGTACTAAAACATCTGGTCATCATGATAATAAAGGAATCACTGTAAACTGTACAGTCATAGCTACATTAATGTACACTATTTTATCACAAATTAGATTGCAAATCTTTATTCTTATGATAATCATCAGGTCTTATTTGCAGTTAGGAAAATCAAGATTATCTTAAAAATTTGTTTTATATTTAATGTTTGACTTTTTAAAAAACTTTGCTTTATAGCTGTAAGGGCAGACCGGATGCGAGGAGGAAGAAACAAATTTGGGCCAATGTATAAACGGGACCGAGCTCTTAAACAACAGAAAAAAGCTTTAATTCGAGCAAATGGACTCAAACTAGAAGCTATGAGTCAGGTTATCCAAGCCATTCCCACCGATCTCACTATCTCATCAGCTATCCAAAATATCCACTCTGCATCCAAGGGTCTACCTCTGAACCATACCGCCCTTCCCTCAACAGACTACGACAGAAGTCCCTTTGTAACTTCACCCATTAGCATGGCTATGCCACCTCACGGTAGCCTGCAGAGTTATCAAGCCTATGGTCACTTCCCAAGTCGAGCTATCAAATCGGAGTACCCGGATCCTTACACCAGTTCTCCAGAGTCTATCATGGGATACTCTTATATGGACAGTTATCAGTCCAGTTCCCCCTCCAACATCCCACACCTCATAGTGGAACTCTTGAAATGTGAGCCAGATGAACCTCAAGTCCAAAGCAAGATCATGTCATATTTGCAGCAGGAGCAGGCCAACCGGAGCAAACATGATAAACTTAACACCTTTGGACTAATGTGCAAAATGGCCGACCAGACGTTGTTTTCCATTGTTGAATGGGCAAGGAGTAGCATATTCTTCAGAGAGCTAAAGGTAAGACCTTGATGGTGAAGAGGTATTCCTACAGAGTTTAGTAGGGGTAGAGTATAACTTGTAGTTTAAAACTTGATCTCAAAGAATTACATGAAAAAGCACAATAAATGTTCAATCACATACAGTACATGACCCCCCCTTACAGTATAGGAGGTAGGGCAAATGTAATTTTCTTCACTAGGCATGTAGACTTAGGTAGCTTGTAGGGTTTTTCATATGTTGTCCTTAAAAGTAAAGCTGCATTTACTTTAGTCGTCCAATCATGTGCATAGCAAAATCCTATTTTTTTAATTCTCCTGCACATAATTTGGTATTCAAAGTAGGGATGTTCAGATACCAAGTACTGTACTTGGTACAAGTACAAGTACATACACAGATACTTTTCCAGCTCCAAGACTAGACTAGAGAAAAATTCAAAAGTTAGGAGGCAGTTGTCATTTTTAAGGAGCAGACGGAGCTCCAGGGATTTGTACATCCCGGTTTTATTGTATGATTTTCTTTTTTATAAATGTATATTAGGGGTGCACTCATACAATTTTTTCAAGTACTGATACTTGTCTAAGTACTCACAGATACAAGTACTGATACATTTTTGTTTATTTTCATGTGACAGTTTTTCTAAAACAATACAGACTAATGATTTCAGGACAGTGGTGGAGCACCAGAGCTAGGTCCCAGCTGCAACCCTGGTAGTTCTCGTGAAAATGCCAAGTATCGGCACTGGTATCTGAACATCCCTAATTCAAAGCGAACATAGCTCTACTTTAGTTAAAGTGACACAAAACTCAAGAGTTAAATCTTGAAAATGCATTCAAGTACTTTACTATTAAAAAAATGATCTCTGAATCCATGCTGACAGTGTCCTTCCTTTTGGAGGGTGGCTACTTTTGTTTCGCATGGTCCCTGTGTGTGTTGTAAAGTAGCCACTGCTAAAAGCTCACTCCCGTGATAGACTACAATCTTAAAACAAATTAGTAAACCAAATGTGAGATTGTAGTGCATCAGGGGAGTGAGCTTGGAGTCGTAGCTACTTTACAACACATACAGGGACCATGGGGAACAAAAGTAGCCACCCTCCAGAAGGAAGGACAGTGTCAGCACCAATTCAGAGATGATTTGAGGATCTACAGCTGAGTGATTCACAAATAAGATACATTTTTGTTAGTTTAGGTACTTGAATGCATTTTTAAGCGTTAACTCCTGAGTTTAGTGTCACCTTAAGAGAAGATTCACTTTAGTAAATCAATCCCCTTCCACAAAGTCTTAAAGGAGAGCACGAAACCTTACTGAAGACACACAAAGTAAATTACTTATTTTTAGCTTATGCTTCCTTAATAATGGGTAACAGAGGCCTTCTTTTTATACTATGAAAAACAAAATAATATTTTAAAACAGCAGCAAACTGAATATCTGTGTTAATAAAGTTATGAGATGAAATGTTTCTACACTGAAATGTCTCAATAGTTGTAAATATGCATGGTACTGTTTTTAAATTCCGTTTGAATATCAAATTTTTTTTTACTTTCAAATATAATGCATCAATTTTCACCCTAAATGAAGCAGTTCATCTATAGTTTACAGACTTCCAGAGGAAAATGAGGCATAAATGTCAAGTTAGGAAAATATTTTGGAAAGCCACAGAGAGCAGCGGATAAGTGGTTATTATTTTTATCAATTGACTTTTTTACTTCTTGGACTGAGGTTCAAAGAGTGAATTTACTTTGGTTGCATCAAACAAGCGCACACTGTGCCCGGTAAATTATTATGGGGTCAGAGAATGTGTATTTGCCAATTCAACATAAAGTACGACGTCAATGAACCTTACTGATTTGGTTTTAGCAATATCTAAACTTCTGCACAGCACAATCTTGTGGAGTTCACTTAAAAACTCATTCGAGTTATTGAAAATACACATGACTGACCCACAGGGTCAGGACTTTCCACGGCAGCGCTGAAAGGATGTTTAATTATTTAGGCTAACAAGTCACATGTAATTAGACAGCTAGAAGTGTCTTGGTTTTTTTAAGTTATAAAAGCAGGAAATGTCTCTAACGGGCTTGATGAAAGGAACGTTTAGGTCTGTTCTTTCAATAACCGATCGCACACAGCAGACACAGCAGTGGGCCTATTGTACAAACAACTGAATTGTACAACTTCCCTGCCAGTTATTACAAAACAGCAGTATTTTTCCAGCTACTTATCTTAAGCAGTGAAGTCCTTTGTATAAGCTGTGGGTTTTACGTTTAAAATGTTGACATATGCCATAGTATGTGCAAATCTGGCATCTTCTCCTCCTTTTGTGCATCACACCCTTAATTGATATATTACTGACTTTTCTGTTACTTCAGAAAAATGCTCATAGTTCTGTTAACAGATATTAAGTTTACCCTTGACCTTCTTTGAATCTTTGCTGCCACGGCAGTGGACATGTAATTTGCTCTTCTTCTACTTTAAAGAAACGGTATTAGGGTTTCAACAAGGACATGTACAAAACTAGGTTCACCTTCATTTGAAAAATTTTAACTTTAAAAGGTGCAGAATTTATCATCTGCAGGTAGATGTTATTGAAAGATAGGGTTTAGTTTGCTTTTCGAACATCTGTGTTCTATAAAATTGATATCTGCTCAAACAGAAAATTAATATATTTTTTATAAATAAGCTTTGAATGAACGCGTGAATAAAGTATTGGCTGCATGAATAAAATATAGACTGCATGAAAAAGTAACTGGGAAGAGTAATACAGTATAATACACATTTTCATTAATAGCTATTGATATTGCCTGATCACGTCACTGTAGTTCAGAATGCTTTTTGCATGACTGGTATAAACTGTAGTCTGTCCTAAGAAGTCGATCACCTACTTTTTGTATATTTACAAATGCTAATTGGAATGGTGAACCACTGATATTAGAACTAAATGAAAGATGAATTTGATTGAATTGAGGAAATGTTTTTATCATTTTAGGAATATGCTACCAATATCATCTATATTCTAGTGTATGTTATTTAGTTATGATTTTGCTGAGACATTTTGAAAAATATTCTTGCAATGCGCTCGGCAACTAACAAATCAGAAACAGTATCAAATTTTACCAATTCTGGCTTCATTATTAAATACAATAACCTATCAGCCAATCAAAGTTTTACCTTTAATTAAGTCAGAGCAACATAGTGAAAGATGGTTGCTATCTGGAGCTTATTTACTAAAGGAATAGAGACTGCTTACTTAGTAACGTGAATGTTCACCAAATGGTCCACTCATGTGCTAGCTAACAGCCTGTGTTTTCAATTTTTCACACGTGATTGGGTTTTCAAGGTGAACACGGCTTCACATTTTTTTTTAACTATCATTTACTTTGCAAAGTGAACAGCCTCTACTGCTTTACTAAATCAACCCTATTGCGTATCTTTCATCTTAGTGAATAGGCCTAATGGAGTACCGCTGTATAACAATTGCTTAAAAAAGAGCATTCAAAATGAATATATGATGTTACAAGATACTTAAGCCCATATCATCACGCACTGTCAACATTGCGTTTTTGTAAACTACTTGATTGGTCTGCTTCATGTTGTAATAAAAATGACAAATAAAAAAATATTTTTCTTGCTGCTAAGTGAGCTTATCACCATTACATATTTTCAAATTAAAAGGCAGTTAGGAGAGCACCCATTTAAAAAAAATAAAACTGATGGTACCAGGTTTTCTTAAAGAAAGGTGCACTGATCCTAAATGCTTTATGAAGTCCAAATAGAAGATGGTTACATAAAGGGAAATATCCTTTGTGTCATGAGAGTAAACTATTAAAAGCTATTTAAATCTACAACCTTTAAATAAACCCCAGATTGGAGCGTGTGTAGCTTGAGATTTGCCTAATAAACAGAGGAAATATAATGAATAAAGTGTTCTACTCCCGGGTCCTTTTTATATTTAGCACTTCCAGTAATTTGAGCCAAGTAGGAACAAAAGGAGGGTTAAATATAGACGAGGGATAATAGATAGCCACAGCAATATTCATCAGATAATGTTTCCATATTACAGGGAACGTTCAAAGGGGCAATGGTTATTTTGAAGGATTTCTCATATTAACAGCAGGACTCTACACTAACAGTGGCCATGATGCGATTATTTCTGAGAATACCTTGAGGTAGGATTGTACTGTACAGCTCATGTCTTCAGCTTAGGACATGAATAACAAATGAATATAGCAGATATAGAATCTTATAGTTTGTAGCACGCTACCAACTCACCACTGTTTATTCAGAAATGTAATTTAATATCACTTATGGTTCCAAAGTTGGGAAGCCATGTTTGCTACAAGCAATGAGACTCAAGTGAGAAATTAAAATTCAAAATAAACAAGTATTCCTTAATCTGATTGTGTTTTAGAAAGCCACATCCTCTGTGGGCTGGCAAGCTCTTAGTAAATCAAACTTTTTTGCATTAATTTACTAGTTATTTTTTCTTATACTATAGTCTGTCATCATTTATTCACTTTTTATTAATCCAATTTTTATAATTCCCTTAACTTAAACAGGTATTTAAAGTGAATGATATAGCGATGCCTTTAATAACTGGTGTCTATTGTGTTTTGGATATTTACACACACTCTGTTGATAAAACATTTAAAATAGGCATTGGAAATATTAATTATCATAATACCACTACCTTTTGTAGCTATCTCGGTGGTCTGTGACAATTCATGAGATACTGGGGAGTTAATGAGATACATTTCCTGCATGTCCTGGACTAACTCAATTTTATTTTGTTTTAATTTTTTCAGGCTTTTCTTCTCTTTATTTTCACCTGCTGATCCTGCCCGTAACATTTTTCCTGTACTGAAGTGACATGAAGGGCGCCACAACAGGCTGCCGGGGGGGCGTTTTGGGGGGGGGGGGGGCGGAGAATCAGTAGCACCGTCCCTGCAGAGAAACAGCTGCCACAATAAATGTGCCCGTCCCATTTTCCCCACTGCAGACTCACAGACTGTCAGCGGTTTCTC